GCTGGACGCCGTCCACCGTCCACCGCCCACCATCCACCGGTGGATGCCGTCGACCGTCCACCGTCCACTGGTGGACGCTGTCCACTGTGAACCGTCCACCATCCACCGGCGGGCGCCGTCCACCGTCCACCGTCCACCGTCCCCCGTCCGCTGATGGACGCCGTCCTCCGTCCACGGTGGGGTGGCAAACCAGTGAAAAACCACTCAGCGGGGTGGCAAAGCAGTGAGAAACCACTCTGGTGGTGGCAAAGCAGTGAGAAACCACTCAGCGTGGTGGCAAAGCAGTGAGAAACCACTCTGGTGGTGGCAAAGCAGTGAGAAACCACTCAGCGTGGTGGGAAACCAGTGAGAAACCACTCATGGTGGTGGCAAACCAGTGAGAAACCACTAAGGGTGGTAGAAAACCACTGGAATACCACTCACCGGACCGGACCACTCACCGGACCAGACCACTCACCGAAACCGACCACCCACCGAACCGGACCACTCACCAACCGGACCACTCACCGGATAGGACCACTCACGGGACCGGACCACTCACGGGTAGACATGGTTAAAACGCGACGGTGGACACAGTCCACCGTCCATCGTCCACCGTCCACCGTCCACCGTCCACCACCCACCGGTGGACGCCGTCCACCATCCACCGTCCACCTCCACCGGTGGACGCCGTCCACCGTCCACCGCCCACCATCCACCGGTGGATGCCGTCGACCGTCCACCGTCCACCGGTGGACGCCGTCCACTGTGAACCGTCCACCATCCACCGGCGGGCGCCGTCCACCGTCCACCGTCCACCGTCCCCCGTCCGCTGATGGACGCCGTCCTCCGTCCACGGTGGGGTGGCAAACCAGTGAAAAACCACTCAGCGGGGTGGCAAACCAGTGAGAAACCACTCAGCGGGGTGGCAAAGCAGTGAGAAACCACTCTGGTGGTGGCAAAGCAGTGAGAAACCACTCAAGGTGGTGGGAAACCAGTGAGAAACCACTCAAGGTGGTGGGAAAGCAGTGAGAAACCACTCAGCCTGGTGGCAAAGCAGTGAGAAACCACTCAGCGTGGTGGCAAACCTGTGAGAAACCACTCGGGCTGGTGGCAAACCAGTGAGAAACCACTCAACGTGGTGGCAAACCAGTGAGAAACCACTTTGGGGGTGAGAAGCCACTCAGGGTGGTGGCAAACCAGTGGGAAACCACTCAAGGTGGTGGCAAACCACTGAATACCACTAAGGGTGCTTTTGAGTCGACTCAAAAAACCACTGAATACCACTAAGGGTGGTGGCAAAACAGTGGGAAACCACTCAGGGTGGTGGCAAACCACTAAATACCTCTCAGGGTTCTGGGAAACCACAGGAGTACCACTCAGGGTGGTGGCAAAGCACTGTAATACCACTCAGGGTGGAGTCAAACCATTGGAATACCACTCAAGGTGGAGTCAAATGGAGAACTCCTAGTGCATGAAGGAGGCGAAGGTGCGGAAGAGGACGATGAAGATGGGGGGAAGGAGGGATGGGGGCGATGGGGGTTTCCTGCACTCCAAAATTCCAAAAGGGAAAGTTCCATACCAATAGCCGTGGCAATGCTGGCCATTGAGAACTCTTGGTGGGTGAAGGAGGCGAAGGTGCGAAAGAGCACGATGGACACGGCGTCGTTCACCAGGCTCTCCCCGAACACCAGGTTGTAGAGCAGCGTGGGCGCCTGCACGTCTGGCAGAGGAGAGAAAGAAGGGGAGGGATGAAGACAAAGACAGGGAAATCTGATCAGACGCGGCATAAGAGCACGATGGACTCAGCGTCGCTCACCAGGCTCTCCCCGAACACCAGGTTGTTGAGTAGGGTGGGTGCCTGCACGTCTGACGAGTGACAAAAAAAAGTGGACACGAGCATTGAACGAGCACATTGGAGATGGAGTCGTTCACCAGGCTCTCCCCGAACACAAGGCTGCAGAGGAGTGCGACTCAAGCTTTCTTGACTATTTTGGATCGCGATGCACGCCTGAGGGAAGGGAAAACGAAGGGGAAATGTGCCGACGTGCATTGGAAGAGCACGATGGACACGGCGTCGTTCACCAGGCTCTCCCCGAACACCAGGTTGTAGAGCAGCGTGGGCGCCTGCATGTCTGGCAGGAGAGAAAAAGAGAGAAACATGATCAGGTGCGCCGTAAGAGCACAATGGAGATGCTATCGTTTGACTAGACTCTCCCCGAACACAACATTGTACAGCAGCGTGGGCGCTTGCACGTCTGGCAGGGGAGAAAAAAAAAGAGAAGTCTGCCAAGGTGCATCATTAGAGCACGATGGAACATGGCTAGTGTAACATGGCTAATATCTCATAGGCTAGTGTAACATGGCTAATATCTCATGGCTAATGAAATATGACTACTGACTCATAATTAATGGCTCATGGCGTCTAGAGAACGACATGGTTCATGGCAGGCAGATGGTAGATGGGCGTGACACCTTACAAGATGAGGAGGGTATCAACAGGGTCGATGGAAAAAGGCTGGAGAATCTTCAAAGGATGAGGGACCTAGAAGATACCTTGCAGGATGGAGAGAGTAGCGACAGGGTCAATGGCGGAGATGAGGGATCCGAAGATGAGTGACTCGAGCAGTGACTCAAGCAGTGACGCGAGCAGTGGGCCTAGAGAATACCTTGCAGGATGGAGAGTAGCGACAGGGTCAATGGCGGAGATGACGGATCCGAAGATGAGTGACTCGAGCAGTGACTCAAGCAGTGACGCGAGCAGTGGGCCTAGAGAATACCTTGCAGGATGGAGAGAGTAGCGACCGGATCAATGGCGGAAATGAGGGATCCGAAGATGAGTGACTCGAGGAGCGGCGATTCTGACGTCATGTGGGTGACAATGCCAGCTCGGACGAGGGCGTACGTGGCAAGCCCGTACACCAGCGTGGAGATGATCGTTCCCACCACAGCAAAGAGCGTGATAGTCCAGAAATTGCGGAAGAAATCCTGCAATCAGAGGAATGTCCGTGGGAGTGAACTTTGAACGACTCAGGAGGACACCTACTGCTGGGAATTTGTCAGAATTCTGCATGCTGAAGGTGACTGGCCAGGACACCGCTGAAGGGCGGTCATATTTGAGGAAGTTTTTGCCCTACTTTCTTCTTGAGGGCGTATCCGGCGTTGAAGATGATGATGGGGAGCAGCCCGTAGAAGAAGATCTCCGGGCTGAAGGTGAACGCCAGGTCGTCCTCCAGCACCAGGGACAGCACGCCAAACACCATCCCCAGGACCAGCGCCGCTGCTGAAATGTGACACACAAGGTATTCGATACAAGCACAAACAGTTGTCAACATCTCCGGGCTGAAGGTGAACGCCAGGTCGACCTCCGGGACCACGGAGAGCACGCCGAACCCCATTCCCATGAGCAGCACCGCCGGTGAAATGATACACAAGGCATTCAATACAAGACATTCAATTCAAGCACAAACAGGGCTGAAGGTGAGCGTCAGATCGTCCTGCAGGACCAGGGAGAGCACGCCGAACCCCATTCCTAGCACCAGCGCCGTCGCTGCCAGAACAAGAAAAGTATGACAAAAAACACAAACAGGGCTGAAGGTGAACGCCAGGTCGACCTCCAGGACCAGGGAGAGCATGCCGAACACCAGCCCCATGACCAGCGCCGCTGCTGAAATGATACACAAGGCAATCGATACAAGATATTCAATACAAGCACAAACAGGGCTGAAGGTGAACGTCAGATTGTCCTGCAGGACCAGGGAGAGCACGCCGAACCCCATGCCCATGACCAGCACCGCCGCTGCCGAAAACAGTAAATTCGATACAAGCACATATGGATGCCAGACTCATCGCCAGGCATAACCTTTGAAGGTTTTATTTTAACAAAGGAGTGGCTGGTGAAGTGGATTCGCGAAGCAGCGGAATCTACTGGGTGAACCGGGATTCAGTTTTTGAGGCGCCTCAAAAATAGACTCCTCACAAGTGGATTCGCGAAGCAGCGGAATCTACTGGGTGAACCGTGATTCAGGCAACCACCATGTCTCACATTATCCCCGATAGAAGGCTCACACGATTCAGGGAAGTAGACCCAATGGTGCTTCTAGGAGATGTAGGCGACGAGCATGGTGGTCGCCATGGGGAAGGAGGCGAGATTTGATTCTGACTCAATAACAACTAAAGGCATACCTGATTCAAGAGAATCACGCTCACACGATCAGGCTCACACGACCAGGCTCGCACGACCAGGCTCGCACGACCAGGCTCGCACGATTCATGACAATCTTCTCACACGATTCAGGGAAGTAGACCCAGTGGTGCTTCTTGGAGATGTAAGCGACGAGCATTGTGGTCGCCATGAGGAACGAGCACGCCAAGATGTCCGTCGACGCGCTCTCCGACAGCACCAGCGACACACTCGCTACCGTGCTTCCCGCAATTCCCGCAGGATCCATGGTCAGATTCGTCATCTTTTGAGTCGACTCAAATGTCCCAACTGACACGCTCGCTCCCGCGGTTTCCGCAAGGTCCATGGTCGGATTTCTCGTCTTTACGCGCCTTGTAGATATATGATATAAAATTCTCTTTCTACATAGGACATTCGCGTCACGCGAGACGAGCCTGACCAGGAACAGGGGAGCCGTACAATCCCCTCAGACGGGTATAACGTGAATGCTGCTGGTCTGGCTGGCTTCTGCTCTGTGGTTTTGGGAACGGTTTGTGCGTGTGACCAGAATCTCAAGCTCCCTTGGGAATCTCGAGCTCTCAAGCTACCATACCAGTCACAAAAACACATATCAGGGCGTGTCCTAAGCGTTCATTTTTTGCCAAAACTCTACCGAACCGTGTTCTAGAGGTATTTGATCTTTTTGAAACGTAATCCAGCTCACTCAACCGCATTCGGACGTACTCTTAGGACACGCCCTCATGTGATAATCATTCACTGACCTCGCCAAAAGCAACTCGAATCAGAGAACAATGTGCGATAACCAGCATACATTACAAATTATCATAACGTAGTTATTCAGTTTATGGATAATAATGTGAAACAACCTACAATCTAGAAGCGTTTTCAGGTTGGATAAGATGGATAGTAGACAGTGAAAAACACTATTTTCATCCCTAAGCGCTTTTTTGTTTTCATGTTCAATCATATTCAGCACAAACAAGTGTACCTGTAAACCAACGCAATTGTCATTCCTCATCCAGAATGGGCCGACCCCTGCCACGACCACCAAGCCCCCCACCCGGTCTTCTAAACCCACCAGCTCCACCAGCACCGGCACCCCCAACACCAACACCAACACCAGCACCAGCACCACCAGCACCACCACCAACACCACGGCTCATCCGACCCATCCTGGACCCACTCCTCGCACCTCTCCCTACCACACCACCCCCCATGCCATCTCCTGCTTCCATGCCTTCCCTGTCCGGCAGCCCTCTTGCTCTCCCCCCCACCCTGCTCCTCCCTGCACCACGCCCCAGTACCTGGTCCGCCCTGCCTCCCTCCATCCCATCCATGTCCTCGCTCTCCCCCACCGAACCACCCCGTTGCAAAGCACCACCACCAGCACCTCCCATGCCTATGCCTCTCCCCCCCACGCCTACACCTCTAACCCCAATACCTCCCATCCTTCCTGCACTTCCAGTTGCCCCTCCCACCCGCCCATCATCATCAAAGTCTTCGGCATCACCACCACCTGCCCCTGCTGCAGCTCCTGCCGCCGCTGCTGCTGCTGATGGTGGTGTGTCAGTGCTAGCATCAACAGCTGTGCTGCTGTCACCACCAGTGCTCTTCTTTGAGAACCAGGACCACAGGCCTGACCCGCTGCCCTTACTGCCAGCAATGCCACTGCTGCTGCCGCCGCCGCCGCCGCTGCTGCCACTACTGCTATCCTCTAAGTCGCTGTCTGCACTGCTGCCAATGCCACGAGAACTGCTGGTGCCTGCTGCACTCGCACCTGCTGCTGCTGCGCCCGTTCCCTGCCAGCTCTCCATGTCCTCATCCCCATCTTCAAACCCCGATGCCCTACTGCTCCGTGCCATACCCCCTCCTGTACCCCCTCCTATACCCCCTCCTATACCCCCTCCTGTAACCCCTCCTATACCCCCTCCTGTAACCCCTCCTATACCCCCTCCCATGTTACCTCCCACGCCCATACCACCATCCTCCTCATCCACTTCACCTGCTGAGCCAGCAACATTTCCTTCACCAGTAGCCCTATCCGTGGCCCCTTCCACAGCACTGCTCTTCTTCCCACCACCAAACATGCCAGAGAAGAACCCCAAAATACCCCCAGACGACCCCCCTTCCTTGCTGCTGCTGCTGCTGCTGCTGCTGCTGGTGGGATCAGTGCCCACAGCAGCGTCCTCGCCCCCATAGTCCATGTCCCCCTCATCCCCTCCCGCTCCTCCTGCTGCTCCCCTTGCCCCTGCTGCTCCAAAACTCCCCATCCCAGCCCCCATTCCCCTGCCACCAACACCAGCACCACCAGCACCACCAAAATCATCATCATCATCCTCCCCACCAAGAGATCCCAAGCTGTTGCTGCGGGGAAAGGCGGAGGAGGAGGAGAAGGAAGAGCCTGTGCGTTTCCTTCCGGCGCCCATGCTGCTGCCTCCCAAGCCGTCTGCATCGTCATCGTCACCACTACTACAAAGAGGAGGGGGGGGAGGGGGAAATCAGAAAAGGTGGGGTTGTGGAATACAGAGACGAAACAAGGAAGAGCCTGTGCGTTTCCTGCCAGCGCCCGCGCTGCTGCCTCCCCTGTATCCTCGTCATCACCACCACTGGAGGGGAGGATAACGGGGGAAGAAGGGGGGGGGAGGGAAGGGGGGGGGAGGGAAGGGGGAAGGTGGGGTGTGGGATAGGGAGAAGGAAGAGCCTGTGCCTTTCCTGCCGGCGCCCATGCTGCTGCCTCCCAAGCCGTCTGCATCGTCGTCGTCACCACCACTGGAGGGGAGGAGAACGGCGGAAAGGGAGAAGGAGGGGGGGGAGGGGAGGGGAGGGGAGGGATGGATTGGGCTTGTAGGAAGGGAAGGAAGATGGAGAAAGATGCGGTGACAGCAGCACCTTCCCCCAGCAGACGTGAGCCACACAGCACGGCACGCCACACACAAGTGAACCATACCATACGTCATGCACAAAAAAGAAGCAAGCGTGCATCACGTGACACTCACTTAAAGCCACGACCAAAGGCACTTGAAGAGTCTCCTCCTGCTCCCCGCCCACCCCGGGATCTACCAAACTGGCCCGACTGCCCTAACCGCCCCCCCCTCCCACCCCCCATGCTGACTCAGCATCCTCCTCCCCCGCCCCCTCCTCCCCTCCCCGCGCCCAGCTGCTTCCGCCCCTCCCTTTCCCCCTCCGCCTGCTGCTGCTGCTCCCCTTGCTCCTCGCCCCTCTCCTCACATCCTCGTCCTCGTTATAATCCTCCTCGGTATCATCGAGACTGTCTCTCCGTTTACCTCTCTTCCTGCTGCTTCGCTTCCCACTCGCAACTCTGCTCCCCCCCTTTCCCTTTCTCCCTCTCCTCTTCGTCCTCCTTTTCTTCCCACGCCGCTTCTTCCCTTTCCTCCCCCTCTTCCCCCTCACACCCCCACTCGTCCCCCCCTCCTCCTCCTCCTCATAATCCCCACCTCGCATCGCCCCTCGTTTCAAGCCTCCTCCCTTCCCCCCGCTAAGAGCACCAATCGCATCAATCACTTGCTGGTTGTCCCTCGGATACAGCGGATCCTCGTTATCTTCCTCAGAACCTTCTGTGAACCTTCGAGGAAAGTTCGACCCACCGAGCCCCGCACCAGCACCATCCACGACAGCATTTCCCGCCCACGCCGACCGCCCCCCCCCTCCTCTTCCGAGACCCTTTCCGGAATTCCAGGAACTAGCGCTTCCTAGACCGGAGGCTCCTAAACTGGAGCCTTCTAGGTCAGTATCTAAGTCCTGGTCGCTGCTCCAGCGGCTCGGTTTCCCGCCAAAACTGGCTCCTCCAAACGCGGATTTCGACGAACCGCCAATGCCCCCGCTCCCGCCGTCAAAGCTGCCGTCGCCGTCAGCGAGAGCCGGCGGGCTGCCGGCCAGCGCTCCTCCGTAGTCGTCATTTCCGTACGACGCGCCGTCATCGTCGCTGGAGCTGACACGTGTCACCTCGCGCGATCGGAAGGCCGAGAAGCCGAAGAACAGCGAGCCAATGAGAAGCAAGAGCGCGATTCCGAGGAGGACGGCGCAGGAGGAGACGGAGAGGCGCGAAAAGGGGAACGGCAGCGGCAGATTTCGACGGAAAAAGGACGTCTGGTCCGAGCGACTGCCTGGAATGGCCCATTTGAATCCGTCGACGCGCGAATTGCTGCGACGCTCGCGAGTGTTGACTGCTGCAGGCGATTTCATCGCATCCTAACTCGCTGCGAGTGTGGGGGTGTGTTGGCTCGCTAGAGTTTGTTACGCGCTGAGAAAGTGGGGGGGGAGTTGCATTGCCCGGTGGGAGGAAGGCTTCGGGAAATCCGGTCGCCGGTAACCATGCGTCGCAGAGCATGCAAGCTAAGGGATAAAGTGGCCTAGTCTGACCTCTTGTCAAAGCAGCACGGGACTGCTCTTGAGTAGACTCAAAAGCAAATCCAGTCGCATAGAATGCTAGCTAAGGGATAGTCTGACCTCTTGTCGAATCAGCGCGAGAAACCAATGTCAGCAGATAACACCGACTTTGAGGGAAACAGCATTCTGGCATTGCTTCAAAGATCCCTCCGGAGGACCATCGAATCGCGCCATCAGGTACAACGAACTTAGGGCACCTGCCAGGATCCGTTCTAGGCGACTATTTGAACAGAATAAAGGGAAGTCCTAGGTAGAAGAAAATAAATAGGGGAAAAATGTTTTCCATGGGTGGTAGGTGGGCGCAAGCGAGGGGTGGAATAGGTTCAAATACGTTTCAGTAGGGTGGATTTGTGTTCGTTGCGATCAGCGAGATTTTCCATACCCGCTTGAAGAGGAGGTCGGTGGAGGCAGCAATGTTCATGCCTGGGTAATTTTGTCTAAAGGTGCTGAATAAAATGATGCATTTTCCTATCAAATTACACCTTTGAGGAAAATATTGTACTTGAGACAGAGCAATGGTCTTACAAAACGTGCGAATACGATTTACTCTGTGAAATTATATTCACTAACATATGCACAAAGTATTAACCGTCTACACGTGATGACGTTTGATTACTTATAGATTCTTCCTGCGCTTTTCACTATACTAGCCTAGCTCATATCCACCTCTAAACTAGCTATATATCAAGTGTTAATATCATAGCTATATATAAGACTAAGGTATGTAAAGCTGCACGGGTGCATGTGTTGACACCACTAGCATGTATCGTGCTTAGCTGTGGAATGGCTATTCACTGCACCCTTCTCCTGCTTTTGACCATTCCTCACTGCTGTGTGTTTTTTAGCCCATGCCTCGGAGCAGGATCGTGCTCCCCTTTATTCTGGGCTCTCTCATTCTTATTCACCCCACTGCACGACGAAGGCGAAGCATCGCCAGTAAAGCCTCCTCCTCCCCTCTTCCTGCTTCCTCCACCCATACCGCATCCCACTGCCATCTACTTGGGAATCTGAGCCTGGTCCATGAGGTGCAGTGTCGTCATCGTAAGCACCTCATCAAACCCCTACGGCTTCACAATATTGAATCTCCTCAAGTACCACGCCGCAATGCCCTCCCCCCCCCCCCAGTTCACTAGCATCCTACTTGGGGATCTGAGACTGGTCCATGAGGTGTTGTGTCGTCATCGTCAGCACCGCATCAAACCCATTAGGCTTCACAATGTTGAATCTCCTCAGGTACCACGCCGCAATGCCCCCCCCCCAGTTCACTACCATCCTACTTGGGGATCTGAGACTGGTCCATGAGGTGTTGTGTCGTCATCGTCAGCACCGCATCAAACCCATTAGGCTTCACAATGTTGAATCTCCTCAGGTACCACGCCGCATTGATCTTCTTCTGCGGGCCAGTCGTCCGCCTCGGGCAGCTCAAAAAAGTCGGCCGCTTCAACCGAATATCGGACCACAGCTTCAGACCCAAATCATTCCGCTTGTAGTTCCGGAACCCGGCCGAAGGGACGTACCCCACCGTCACATGGGAATGCTTGTTCAGTTTATGCATGGCGGGGAGGGTCTCGCAGTACTTGTACTCCAGGCTGTCTCGTGACGTGTTGACGAGGATCAAATCCAGCTGGTTCTCCGTGGCCAATCCGCTGCACTTGCCGGTCTGGGCGGCGGTCATGCCACCCTTGGGGTTGCAGTTCTGCCCGTTGACCGCACTCTCCTGGCACACGTTCTTCCACCATGGCCAGTACTGGAATGGGGGAAGATGGGGGATTGGGGGAGGGAAGGGGGAGAGAAGGGGGAGAGAAGGGGGAGAGAAGGGGGAGAGAAGGGGGAGAGAAGGGGGAGAGAAGGGGAGGAAGGAGGAAAAGGGGGAAGAAAGAGAAGGGCGTTTGGGGTTGGGGCAGAAAGGCAGATATCAGGGGGAGAGAGCGCAGGATAGGGGGGGGGATGGGGGGAGTATTCGGACAGCATGCGAATATTCTCCCAATTGTTGACTGTGCTGTATGTTCTCCTTGGGGCATAACTCTTCTCTCTCTTCCTTCTCCCCTCTTCTCACCTTTCGGAATGTAGGGGTGTCGTAGTAAGCCTTCCGCATGTTCTCCCAGTACAGCCCGGGGTCCTTGAGGCAGTTGTTCACGGTGGGCGTGAGGCACGTGCACCACCCCACTGCGCCGATCTGCCCCTTCATTACAACGTCCTTGATCACGTTTCTGTAGCGCGGGGAGGGCGGGAGGGAGGGCGGAGGCGAAAGGGAGGAACGGAGGTTGGCGACTCAAACGCCACCCCGCTGCGCCGATCTGACCCTTCATTACAACGTCCTTGATCACGTTTTTGTAACGCGAAGAAAATGGGGCGAGGGAGGAGGGGGCACGGAATGGGAGACCTTTGAGTTCCGCCCCACTCAAAGGGGGCACGGAATGGGAGACCTTTGAGTTCCGCCCCACTCAAAGGGGGCACACGGAATGGGAGACCTTTGAGTCAACTCAAGCCGCCCCACTGCACCGACCTGGTCCCTTCCTTACAACGTCCGTGATCACGTGACGTTCCTGTAGCGAGGGGGAAACGGCATGGGCGGAGATCGAGGGAAGCGCCAAGCGGGCAGCGGGAAGCGGGCAGCGCGAAGCGGGCAGCGCAAAGCGGGCAGCGGGCAGCGGGAAGCGGGCAGCGGGAAGCGGGCAGCGGGCAGTGGGCAGCGGTAGCGGCAGCGGGCAGCGGGCAGCGGGCAGCGGGCAGCGGGCAGCGGGAAGCGGGAAGCGGGCAGCGGGCAGTGGGTAGCGGGTAGCGGGCAGCGGCAGCGGGCAGCGGGCAGCGGGCAGCGGGCAGCGGTCTTCTTCCCACTCCATCTTCCCTCCCTCCTCCCCCTCTGTAGGTGATTTTCGAGTCGACTCAAAAAAGGCTTTATTTATCCCCTCCCCCTCCGTCTCCCCCGTTTTTTCCACACCCCCGTCTTCCCCCCCGTCACGGCCGTAACAAGAAGTAATCATTACACTCACCTCTTGCCGTTGTTCACTTTGATCCCGTCGTACGTGTTAACACACGCGCCGCCGCGAATCCGCACGTCCGACGTGTCATAATCCAAATAGTAGCAGTGGTCTCCGTTAAAGACGTAGTTACACTGCGCGACATTCCCGGGGTTGAACCAGTGGGTGCAGTAGTAGATCCCCGCCGCGTCGTGATCCCCGTTAGTGTTGCGCCCTTTAGCGATCACAAGGTTGTTGGAGACGTTCGTCATCATACAGTCGCCGGCGAAATGCACGTCGGCGCCGCACCGGATTCCCGCGAAGATAAATCGTGCACGTAGTTGCGGTACACCTTTACCCCCACTGCTCCTCGATATAATACGATTGGGGTGTCCACACCTAAAGGGGCGAAAAGGTGAAGGGGGAAGGAGAGAAATGTTGGTCAACAGCGGAGAAACGAGGAGAAGAGGACGAAGAAGAAGATAATCCTAATGGCGTCGAGGAATTGGAGGAGGATTATGAGAGGCACTGCATTCCATTGGGAGGTTTCGGTTGAGGCGCCTCAAAACTGCATTTCATTGCGAGGTACTAGGTTCAGTACCGTAGGTTTGTGAAAGGCTGTGCATGTTCACTCACCGTATGCCTCGTTATTGGATATAACAACGTTCGCCTTGATGAGCTTCGTGCTGTGTCCGCTATACGCCACGCGAATGACTCCATGCGAACTGGCGAAAGTGGGGGTGCCGGTAACCTTGATACTGTCGACTCGCGAATTCATGCTCCGGTGTACGTCCACGCGTCCGAACACCGTCGACTTGCCGAAGATGATACCGTACGACCGGGAGATGTGTACGGCTGGACAGTTGACCCCCGTACCGACCTCGGGTATATTCGGGCACTGCGGCGACCCGGTGGTGACTGTAACGAGGAAATTGATACCGTATACAAGCAAGTTGCTCGTATTCCAAATCCGAAGGGTCGGCATGTCGTCGGTGCTGTATTTGATATACAGATTGGGTTTCGCAGCGGTTAAAATGGTACACGAGAAAGCCCCGTCAAAGAGCAGCCCGCTTCCTTTACTGAGCAGCAGGCTGTTTTGCAGCATAAGCACGACGGTTTGGTTGCGGCTCTGCTGGGTGCGCTTCTGGAAGTCGGCGGCAGTCTTTATCGGGATAGTGATGTTGCTTGTAACGGGGCTGCATGGGCCCTTGGGATGCGATCCCCCTGCACAGGCGGAAGCAAGGTCAGAAGTGCCCGGGGGATGGGGGAGGGGGGGGAGGGAAGGAGGGGAAACGAGGGGAAACAAAGGAGATAGGGGGAGAGGGGAGGGGGAAGGGCGGAGGAGGGGGAGGAGGGCGGAGAGGAGGGGGAGAGCGATGGGAATAAGGATTTCAAATCTGCGAGCCAGTCTTACGTTTGAACCATTCCTCATCACCCTCTAGTTCGATATCCTCTTTTCCATCATCCTCATCGTCTCTGTAATCCACCGTAACACGAGTCGTTCGAGGCGCGTTATGAGACGGGTGGACTCCTCGAGTCGATGGCTCTACCAAGGTTCACAAAAAATGAGCTCCCACCAACGGGGAAAACGGCAAGAAAAACAAGGCCAATCTAGGGGCAACGAGGCACGCCGCCCATATCGGAGCGAGGGGACACACCGATAGCGGCGCGCTTGCGCCCATTGAGGCAAAGCGGGGGATTGCCAAAGGGGAGGCACGCACTTGCTTGCGCCGAGGCCTCGGAGAGCGCAACGCACAGCGCGAGCAGCGCCGCGGCGAGTACAGGCCGTATCCGAGCCGGCGCCATCTGCAGAACGTAGTTGCTGGAACAACCGCTATAAAATAGTTAGCTACCCTCTTTACGTGTGCACGTCCGAATACAGCTACCCAAAGCTATCCTCGATATAGAATTAGAGTTGTTAGAGTGAGCGGGCAAGTGCGCCAGCAAGAGAATCCTATTCGGTAGTGGTAGAGTGGCAAGCAGATGGCTCTATGTCTGGCCGCACTGTCTATCTCGCCCTGGCTCGTCAGGCACGAAGCTAGAATCTCGAGGATAAGACCACTCGGCGAGACGAAAGGAAAAGAGGAGGCGGATTAGTAGTGAAGTCAAGTGCCCTCTTTCGTCCTTGTTACGATATTGGCACCCCACGACTAGATTCAAGCTGCCGGCTTGTCATGCTTGCATGAGCATGTGAGTGGTGAGCCGAATTCGAGGGGTGAGCTGCTGCCAAATCAACAGGTGCAGAAGGGGCAAAAATGCTC